TATTGCTAACGAAAATTTACATATCTTAGCAATATTTACAATTCGTTTGGTACATAAATCTTTATAATATCTACGATTTAAAGAAACAATATTTTTGAGTAGTTATTATATAGAGATTCTTCATGGCCAAGCTAAACGATTTAATGCATTCTTAAGGATTTTAAATAATAGTCAGATATTACTTTTATGCATAAAATCAGATAGTTACACAACTCGTAACGAATTTAGAATATACCATCGGAATCAAATTTTAAAGTGTCCGTGAGTTGTTAGTCAAAAACATTAAAAATAATTATTTATTAAATGTTTTCTAATTTAAATCTGAATTTTTAGAATATACTATAAGAATAAGATATTATCAAAAATATTGTTGATATCATTTTTGCGATTTTACTAATCTGTAAATGATATTAAAAAAATTAGGTAGGGGTTGGATTTTTCGGGTTTTGGTGGCAAACAGTTCTCCTATTGTTATGGTTTAGTTTTAGGAATGTTGGGGTATAGATTTACATAATACTATAGTTAATGTTACCGAGGCGGTTTATTTCCTGTCATCTATTACACACTATTAATTTTGTTTCTCTGACATCTAAAATATTTAATGCGTATTTAATGAATTAAACAGAGAAAGGATCGCAAAAAGATGTTCTTTGAATCGAGAAAACACTAAAGGTAAGTATTTAAATGAATTTCCTTTTTAGTAGTGTCGATGGTAAAAATAAATCAAAAAATAAATTCTAAAAAATCAACCAATAGAATCGCTAGAATTCTTCTGAGAATGGCTGTGTGAGTGCCACGTGTCAAAGTGACTTCTCTTTTAATGTATAGGGGGATCTTAGCCACAGAGTAGAAACGAATTTTAATTTTTATTAGATAAATGATTAAAAATAATAATAATTATTATTCTCCAAAATCTAAAAATATATTCTTTAAAAAAAAAAGATAATTCTTATTTGTACTGTGTTATCTGAAAAAACAATTTTAATAAAAAAAGTTCAAAACTAAAAACAGACATAACTAAATATTAATCAAGTAAAATTCTTAATTTTATATAACTGAGAAGAAAATATTGAGTGAATTTTAAGATTTATTTCTATATAATGAATATATAGTCTACTAATAATTTTTTAAAAAAATAATAATTAAAAAACTCAGATAAAATATAAATACCTAATTATAAAATGTATATTACTCTCCATTCACAAATGGTATGTTTTTAATTTTTGCTTCACAAATTTTTTTTTTTTCAGTGCAGAATTTCAAAAGAAAAATACAATTTTTAACACCAGTGATTTAACATATTAATTAGAAAGAAAAATATTTGGTGTATGAATGGACTATAGAATAAAAAGGTTAAATATTTTTTTTTAATATACATGATAAACTCTCACACGACAGTTTTTTATTAAAAAAAAGATAAGAGTATTATTGTAAATTTTATACTCTTTTTTTTAACACATTAATATTGAATTATATAGAAACTCCATGTACTAGACTAGGCAATGGGGCTGAGCTGCACAGATACAATGTTGATTTGCAATAATTTTATACTCTACACATTAAATTTTAGGGTATGACTAGCGGTTGCGGTTGCGAAGGTGTGCAGATATGGGTAGTTGTGGTTTCTAGAGTTATTGAGTGATCTGTACAATTGGTACAACATTTAGAAACTGGTATGTTTGTGAAATATTTATGATTGGTTGATTAGGAGATATTGCAGTGGTTTAATAATAAATTACTGATATTAACATATTA